ACTAAAAGACCTAGAAGACCTCATTAATCTGTTTACTTCACTTCTGTTAATGTGCAGTTACTTAAAGCTCTTCAAAACATCGACATGTACCGAGAAAACGACCTAGAAGTCACGATTTTCATCAGAAAAGACCCTACTTTTTTTTTCTTTTAAAGTCTTTTTTAGACTTGTTTGATAGATTCAGCAGAAAAAATGGCATAAGAGACCTTATTTCTGTGCTTGATTCACTTCTATTCATGTAAAACCAGCAAAACTCTTCAAAACATTGAGGTGTACCGAGAAAACGCCCTAGAAGCCACAATTTTTATCAGAAAGGTAAAATTTTTTTTTTGATGAAACCCGTTTTCTAGACCCCTTTGGTCTTTTCAGCGAAAAAAAATTGAAAAAAAAAAACTTTTTCCAAAAATTGGTAGGATATCCGTGGATATACCCTGCTTTGTATATATTTGAACCGTGTAATCGTTATTTAAAAAAGTAGCACTTCTTTCATTTCAATTTTACTTTCTTAAACACGAAAATATCTTCCATCAACTTTAGAATATGACTCTCTAAAAAAATCCCAAAATACTTCTGCTACTGACCATCCACACTGTTGATATTCGCCAGAGATATTTCAAACTATAATTCAAATCAATATTCAGTATTATACACAGGTAGTTGACCTCTCACTACTTGAATGTCTGCGTTTTGATTGAACCAAAAAGTTCTACTTAAACGCAACATATTCCTCCTCATTTTAAATATTTAGTACATAATCAGTATTCTGCAAAAGCAATATTTAGGAGCCACAAACTAGTCCAACAAATTCGTCTGATTGCACATAAGACCGATAAAACCATAATACCTAAGCCAATTATCTTTTTTCTCATTCCACAAGTGCTTCACAATGCATACTCATCTAAGCCAAATAGGTAATCGAAAGAACAAACTACCTATTCAATTTAAGTTCAATTCATTCTCGAAGTTTATTAATTTCCAAACTTACCTGAAGAGACCCTTAAGCAAAATTGAAACGATCGTCGTCAGTGGTTTCGAATGATCTTCTAAATTCACTCCTTTTAAAGCCACGTTCCTATTTTCTGAAGACTAACAAGAGTGATCGATTCTCATATCAAAGATACGTACTATAATTCACGGTCATGTTCTGATCATCAATGCACAGTAATCAGAAATCCAACGTGCTTTTCCGATGATTTTGGTCAAATTGTAAGTCATTTGTTTTCGAAATAGTGCGTCGATGTTGAAGCCTCCTCTCTTTTAGATGTGTTTTTCATTTTATTACAAGACCATACTTCGATTCTCTCAAAAAATTAAACATTTGAGTTTTCATTTGTTGTAAGTCAAATCAATTGAAATTCTACAGCATCAAGTTGTGCATGCTGCTCGAACAACATCGACTACGCTTGTCTGCCGATGACTATAAATGGAGGAGAATTGTGTACAGATACTGGAGTGTCATGTGAAACTCTATTTGCGTGTGATTCCGATAATAAGATAAATACAATGCCGGATACTGTGAGGGTAGACAACTCAAGATGTGCACCGAGTTCCGTTAACTTTCCTTTTCATGAAATCTGCTTAAAAGAGCTCATGACTAGAATAAGAAAGGTCAAACAACAATGAATAATAACTTTATTGCTCAATATTGTGTTATTTTTATCGGGCTTAACATGATAATCACTTGATGAACCATAGAAGCTCATCTTTGTCTATCATTTAAAAGAAATTCGTGTTTTTTTCATATCCAAACATTCACCGTCACTACACAAGTTCGTTTTCCTTGATCATATTTAATATTATAGTTTGCATTTCCTTTTGCTAGTTCTTTATCAAACCAATCTGAAACAGTTCGACGATCTTCTGATGTTTTCATTGAAATCGTCAGATGAAATAGTTTCGGTAAATTATCCATTAGATATTTGAATGCAGATTTTTGACTTATACTGCATTGAAGAACTTCAACGTTGGAAAATGCCTTGCAGACCCTTGATAACTCAGCCTGAGTAATAAACATTTGTGTTGGAATACTCCAATTCATATATAAATACAATTTTTTGATCATTCTAGTTAAATATGTACACAATTCATCGTCCACTAACAATGGCAATAATACAGTTTGGTCGATATACATCGATGACACCTTTGGCATTTCTTTTAAGATGCTCAANTTCAATTATCATGGCAATTTTTTGCTAGTCATCACGGAAAAGGTAAGCGATACTGAAGTAAAAGAGTTACTAGCACTTTTCAATCCATCATCCACAATTAAATTAATATTTTTCTAGGCCTTTTCAGTTTACCTATAAACTCATGAATTTCTTTTAGTAATTGATCAATATATATAATAAATCTCATCTTTGAAGCTGTCTGTCACAGTCTGCGTGGGGAGAGCATCCAAATTTTTTACCCCTATACCTATACTTCGACACTTTATTTTAATTCCTGTTTCACAAAATATCGCAGATAAGTCAGAATTATGAATAAGTAGCCCCTCTCTTGAGATGATAATGAAATAGCCCTGGATCGTATTGTGAAAGTATAATAATACAAAGCAAGTAAACTTAAATATATGATTCTGTTTGTTGAATTATTTGTGAAAATAAAATTGAATTACTTGAACGATAAAAACCGTCTCGCAATTCTCTGTATACTAAAATAACATGAATTTTGTCGTTACAAATTGAAATTGCAGCTTATTAAACTTTCTCGATTGAATCATCAAAAAAAAGATGAAATTCCGTAACATTTGAAATTCTGTAACGGACAATATTTTTAGTTTTTTATTACATACAGTCATGTTTGTCCAGCATTCACCTGATATTCTGGAAGTTTGTCTGAAACTGAACAGCTCTTATACAGAACATCTAATTTCAAGCCGCTTCGTTTCGTAGCAAAATACTAAACTCTCAGCTGCTCTAAAAAACAATTCCATTTTTTTAAATTCCGTAACGCTCAGTATTGGCTTAATAACTCAGCTCTGACTAAAGCAGGATGAATAAAATTTTTACTGGTAATAGAACTAATTACTCTCTATCAATGTTAAAAATTTCAGAGAGTTTGCTTTCTTCTATTGAGAAGATACAGGTGTTGTAATGGAAAAAAATGAAATTCCGTAACGCTTGGCCATCACGAGTAGAGGATTTGAGGGTGTTGTGATGGGTTGAGACCCTTACATATACCCATCAATCGATAGAGCGTCCTCGATAACCATTGAGTGGACCCCAACATCACTATGGGTTGTCAATGGAATAGCGGCGAAAAGCGCGTGGTCGGTTCCGGCGTATTCGCCCCTGTACATCAGTTATTGCCGTGTCACGGCAGATTTACGGCCGTAATGTTCATTCTGGGTCCTCATTTTAAATATTTAGTACTTAATCAATATTCTTCAAAGGCAATATTTAGAAGCCACAAACTAGTCCAACAAATTCGTCTGATTGCACATAAGACTGATAAAACCATAACGCCTAAGCCAATTATCTTTTTTCTCATTCCACAAATACTTCACCATACATACGCATCTAAGCCAAATAGGTAATCAAAAGAACAAATTAGCTATTCAATTTTAAATTCAATTCATTCTCGAAGATTATTAATTTCCAAACTTACCTGAAGAGATCCTTAAGCAAAATTGAAACGATCGTCGTCAGTGGATTCAAATGATCTTCTAAATTCACCCCTTTTAAAGCCACATTCCTATTTTCTGAAGACTAACAATAATGATCGATTCTCATATCAAAGATACGCACTATAATTCATGGTCATGTTCTGATCATCAATACACAGTAATCAGAAATCCAACGTGCTTTGCCGATGATTTCGGTCAAATTGTAAGTCATTTATTTTCGAAGCAGTGCGTCGATGTTGAAACCTCCTGTCTTTTAGATGTGTTTTTCATTTTATAACAAGACAATACTCCGATTGTCTCAAAAAATTGAACATTTGAGTATTCATTTGTTGTAAGTCAAATCAGTTGAAACTCTGCAGCATCAAATTGTGCATGCTGCTCGAACAACATCGCCTGTGCTTGTCTGCCGATGACTATGAATGGAGGAGAATTGTGTATAGATACTGGTGTGTCATGTAAAAGTCTATTTGCGTGTGATTCCGATAATAAGATAAATACAACGTCGCATACTGTGAGGGTAGACAACTCAAGATGTGCACCGAGTTGCGTTAACTTTCCTTTTCATGAAACCTGCTTAAAAGAGCTTATGACTATAATAAGAAAGGTCAAACAATAATGAATAATAACTTTATTGCTCAATACTGTGTGTTATTGTTATCGGACTTAACATGATAATCGCTTGATAAACCATAGAAGCTCATCTTTGTCTATCATTTAAAAGAAATCCGTATTTTGTTCATATCCAAACATTCACCGTCACTACACAAGTTCGTTTTCCTTGATCATATTTAATATTATAGTTTGCATTTCTTTTTGCTAGTTCTTTATCAAACCAATCTGAAACAATTCGGCGATCTTCTGATGTTTTCATTGAAATCGTCAGATGAAATAGTTTCGGTAAATTTTCCATTAGATATTTGAATGCAGATTTTTGACTTATACTGCATTGAAGAACTTCAACATTGGAAAATGCCTTGCAGACCCTTGATAACTCAGCCTGAGTAATAAACATTTGTGTTGGAATACTCCAATTCATATATAAATCCAATCTTTTGATCATTTTAATTAAATATGTACACAATTCATCGTCCACTAGCAATGGCAATAATACAGTTTGGTCGATATACATCGATGATACCTTAGGCGTTTCTTTTAAGATGCTTAATAAAACCGATGGTTTCGCTATCTTACAGTCGGATGAAATGTTTAAATAAGACACACCAGATAAAGTCATACTACGTTTCAAAGATTTGATGTCTTTAGTCTCTAAAATACATTTCTCCGAGATTTCTAATCCCCCAAATGTTAATGAAGTAATTCTGTAAAAATGGCATTCCTTTGGTTTAGGAATTCTTTTTTCTTTTAATGTGAAATCTTGAGTGTCGCTCGAATCCGCTGGCATAACAACATAATGACTTGAATTTGTGTAAACCGCTAATTTACATCGATATAATGGACATGGTATCGTACAAATCCATCTGTTGTCACTGGTTAATAGACATTCGGTGTACCAATTATGAGCTCTATGCCAAAAATCACTTTGAAATTGTTGAAATATCTCCAGGATGTTATCGTCCGCATCCATACTATCACAACTGAATCTAAAATGAAATGTTTCCAGTCGAGGTAATGATGAAGTGATCAAACGTTCCCATCGATGAGCATCAAGAATATTTTGACCAACACCGCCAGATATTGAGAGACATTTAAGATTAGGTATTAGTTTTACAAACTGTTCAAATTCTTGGAAATCATGATCAAAATCACCTATCACCATAGTTGTTAGATTCGTGGCACAGCAATTTTCATTGCAGATCTTTCTGGATGGATCATTGTTTGTTTTAGAACATTCATGAACATTTAGATAAGTTAATAAAGGCAAGTTGGCTAATAAAATGTGTAGATTGTCTAAATCACATGATGATATTGTTACATTAGTAACTGACGAAAGTACATTGCGATACGAACGAAGCTCACCGAATGAACTTAATGATAGTGTCTTTAGTTTCGATGTTGTCAGGTAAGATAGTACGATATGAACGAATTCTCCACTACCGTTCAAATGAAGCGAAGACAATTCTTTCATTGATGATATAATTGGTTGCAATGGTTGAATGTTTTCGTCCACAGTGATAGTCAGTTTTAATGAATGCAAATAAGAAAACTCGGTGGTCGAAAGCAATGATGAAAACTTTTTTACTAGATCGCATGAATTCTTGTTTGATAAATGTAATGAAACGATTTTATCTCTGATTTCTGGGTTTTTTAAGATAAGTTTACAAAATCGATCGAATATTGATTTGCGAATATACGAAAAATCGACATGTAACGTGGAATTTCGAATGAGATGACTAAGACGATGATTCAATCGATCGAATGAATAAAATAACTCACAAGCATTGAGGTAGGCAAAGCATTGCAACAGGATCTCATTTGGTAACGATTCCAACTTCGTATGGGTCTTGCTTACTTCACTCATAGTTAACAGAGTAAATGATTTTCATATAAGCAAAATTGCTTCATTATCATGCAGCATTGCGAAATCATTTTGCTTATGACAGAATAGATAAAATTTTGTACACGAGAAAGATAAACATTTACATTGACTTTATATGGTTATTTCGCGAACCAATAGGCATCAAGAAAAATATTTTTGTTTTCTCATAGCTACAAAATATATTGCACAAACATTTTCAGAAGTCACGAAAATACGAATATATCTATTGATTACTGTTCATATTTAATGAGTTTTCTATTTGTCTTTTAAATGAGTAGGTGTCACTAATAGAAAAATTCTTTTTCCTTAACACTTCGATATCGAATATTCAGCGTCCATATACGAGGAATTCGTTCCTCGCTACATTTGAAGGACTAGCCAGGGTATCAAGGCGTAGAAAACGAATGCCGGTCAACTTTGGATTAAATGTGATATTGATCCATTGATCGTCAGACGTGTAGCCATTTAAATTCTTTACAGTTTCTAACGAATTACAATTAAAACCCGCAGAGAGTCTATGACTCGCAAAATCGCTGGAAACTGATATGTCCACCAATGAAATTTTTTCTTCTCTTCTTTAAGTAATAAGTTTTTCGAATGAAAAAATAAAATGGTGAGGATGCCACTAACATATGATCACTTCAGACGATTTAAAATCAATATCTAAAGAAGATAAATAAGATCTAATTGAAGTTCAACTCAAACACGAAAATGAATACATAGCAGTAATTAAGACTATTCGAGTAAAATAAGATGGATAAATGCGTAGTTCTGTGTGTTTTCTAGCAAGATCTTATGTACCAGTAAGTGTTCTAGTAAAATCTCGAGACGAAATCTGGATTTGCCCTTTCGGAGTGGATCCGAATATGGAATCAAATCAAAAGGAGTTCATTCAATAGAGCTCGGCGAGTTCTATCTGTTGGTCAAGTTCCATCGCTTGGTCTGATAAATAAGCGAATGGCGAGAGGTTCTACGTAAAGGAAAGCGTTTTTTCACTTATTTTTTTTTCTAGTTTTCCAGGTTTTTCTCTATGAAGAAAGGGATCTGGGAAAACGTAGCTATTGGAATCGATATAACTCGTCGAGATCTATCTTATTATAGCATTTTTGGTTTTTGATATAACCTATAGACGAATGCGTTCGGGGAATACTCGAATCCAGCTCCGAGATATCCTACGTCTTTTTGAAGACTTTGCTTTTTTTTATATATTGAGGATGAGCACAAGATTATTGTTGTGGACATCGTTGAATAACGTATGATTATGTCCTGTAGAAGTTTCATCTATCATTTATGACCAATAATTGAATGGAAAAGGTGCTGTTCCAAGTGCTACTCATTTTTAAAACAAAACTTGTATACGTTTTATTGTCATGGAAAATTTTGGTAGTACGTAAAAATGATACTTGTGGATATCTGAATACTAACTTACTGTGTCGTGGGTTTTTCTTTCAGTTTTATTGTTAATCGAAAATGAATGGAAGTGAAAAATCAAGTACTGTATGATATAGTGTGGGTGTGGGTGTGGGTGTGGGTGTGGATGTGGGTGTGGGTGTGGGGTGTGAGTGTGGGTGTGGGGTGTGAGTGTGGGTGTGGGTGTGGGTGTGGGTGTGAGTGTGGGTGTGGGTGTGAGTGTGGGTGTGGGCGTGGGTGTGGGTGTGCGTTGGAATTGTGATCTCTCTCTAAGAGAAGACCTCCACCATCCACATCTACACCTCCCGCACGCCACCCACATCCGCACCCGTCCAACACCCACACCCTCAAGAGCACATTTTCATTCTATATTCGTACCCCGTCACGTTGCTAACAAAAAGGAAACTGATTTTTTCGAATAAGCTATGGATGCTTAGAAAAACTGTAGAGAGAGATTTTATAGCCTCAGCGATTGGCCACAAAGTGAACCGTTTAGGTTTCAAAAAAGCTGCCACAATTCGGAGTTTTTCAAAAGTAAACTTCATAAAGTGAAAGTTTATGTTCTTTTTTTTTGTGTCACTTCGCTAACGCTAGATTTTTATTCTTAACTCCTCTGAACAAAGATCTTCAGCAATCATTTTTTCAGCGTATCTAGACAATCTTAGCAGGCATGTATCATATGAAAAGTAGTTTTTGGAAAGTTCGTTATCCTGAGATGCACATTTTGCCTGTTTCTTGTTTATATGTAAATCGTGACGATTCTGTTTTCTTCAATACTCTATTTTTCGATTTTTTTCCAATTTACTCTTATAATGACACTTCCTATGTAATTTTGCTTTAATCTAGATATCAATTGCCGGGGTGGTATGTCTCTCATCACATGAACATTTTGAAGTGACATAGAATACAAACTGTGAGCCTCTAGCCAATTATTGTTTCGATGAATGATATATTTTACCTGTTTACCGTATTATGTGTGGATATTTTCAATTTGTCTATTTGACTAATCGATCAATTAATGAATTTAAAATTAATGTCAGTTATATAAACGGTCGAAAGGAGGAGATTATACAGTGAGAGAACGAAAAAGATGAGCTCCTGGCGGAACTCGAGCCACACACCTTCTGCTATCCGGGCAGATGTCCTACGCCAATGAGATTAGAAGAGACGATGTTATATTTCTTTTTCGTCTTAGATCATCGTTATATGTACATGATCTAGCAATGTTGCACCTGACTTTGTATGTTATGATGCAGAGAAAAGTCCTGGATTCTTATCTAGAATGGCTTCAACTAATATAATTGATCAGCCCACTTGTTGTCGCATGTTAGATCTGATAAAAGAAGATGCGGTGACATATTTTTATATGTTGAAGAGGGAGTTCTTGCAACTCTATCGTGAATGTTCGACTACCGGTAATGAAACATCATGTGTAAATTCATCTTATTTTCATTGTAATGAATCTTTTATAATGCCTTTTCATATAATCGTGTTGGTAATGAATTCAAGTATTATTATTATAATGAAGATGAATCATTTCCTACATGTCATTTGAACATCTCAAATCGGTTTCCGTGCACGTCAGATCCAACCAAGTGCTTGTTACCTGTAGCGATTGGGAATAGATGTGATGATTGCTCAGAAGGAGAAGACGAGACAAACGAGAATTTATATGGTATTCAGCGACAAATACCATTCTCATTTATATTTGACGTAACTGTACATGTTCAAAAAGCAGACAGAAATGAAACTGATGAAACAAATTGTGAATGGTGGCCATGTTATAACGCATACTCTCATTGTAATACATATTGGGATTGTCTTAATGGTATTGATGACCTCAACTATCCCAACATGAATTGCTAATGGAACGAATTTCAAAATCAAAAACAAAGATTTGAATTTAACTTATTCTTTATCATTAGTTCACATGTATCATAAGCGTTGAAATGACTGTACGAATGGTAAATTTATTCATGAACTCTATTTTGACAATGAAACCAGTGATATTAGCAAGTCTTATTACTCATTTAACAAATCCAAATGTATTAGTGAAGACAACATTTGCAATTATAAGAGGTGTGGGTGTTTTACCTTCATCGACACCCACACCCACTCTAAGCATTGTAACATATTTCTAGAATTAATTGGAGCTATACGCCATCTTTTGGAGTCAATGGAGTCATATGGAAGTAATAGCATTGCTTGGAATTATATGGAGCTGCATAAAGTGAATGAAAGAATTTGAAATCAGTCACAGTCGATGAAGTCAATGAAATTTCAGGATCACGGAATCAACGTTTGCCCACTTTGGAAGTTGATGCAGTGGTTGGTTTAGTCGTTGCTTTGGTAGTTAATGCAGTGGTTGGTTTAGTCGTTACTTTGGTAGTTGATGCAGTGGTTGGTTTAGTCGTTACTTTGGTAGTTGATGCAGTGGTTGGTTTAGTCGTTGCTTTGGTAGTTGATGCAGTGGTTGGTTTAGTCGTTGCTTTGGTAGTTGATGCAGTGATTGGTTTAGTCGTTGCTTTGGTAGTTGATGCAGTGGTTGGTTTAGTCGTTGCCTTGGTAGTTAATGCAGTGGTTGATTTTGTCGACCCGTTGATTGTCTAAAATGTTCGGATGCTCATATATCGATGCACAAGGAAAGCATAACCGAGGAAAACTCTTTCCGAAGTGATCCAAGCGCAGTAATATTGATACATTGTAGGAATTCACCGAACTCTAGTTCACTAGGGTTCAGATAGGATTACATCCGGTTTCAAGTGATTCGAATTCAGGGTAACAAGTCTTCTCTGTCAGATGTTGCAGAAATTTAGTTTGCAACCGATAGAGGAGATTTCGGGTTATTCATACAAGATTATATCGACTTCAAGAATATTCCACAGAATTCTATCAAATCTTTTCGACTTGCAACCTAATAAGGATTCGAATCCTGGCAATAGTTTTCTTCGCGGAAAAACATTACTCTTCTTGCGGTAAGGATACTGTAAGGCACGTAGAAATCTCAACATTGATAAGCATTGGTACATCATATCACCCCGGAGTGGTTTTGAAGGGTAGGTGTTCGGTGAATAAAATTTTATTCACCGAACACCTACCCTTCAAAACCACTCCGGGGTGATATGTGATGTAAATTTTAACATACTCATCCACGGTTCGATCAGGAAAAGTCAA